CACACACACACACACACACACACACACACACACACACACACACACACACACACACACACACGCAGCATTTCAGAAGGCCGTTTCTAGTAAAAGAAGGTGCAGATTCACCTTTCTTCCCATCAGCAGGTCTAACTATAGCCAGCTGAGGGACACGAGGGACGCTGCGTCCAGGAGACGGATAAATAACACAATGTGTCTCAGACGCCCCGCTCCTCCGGTTCCAAACAACAACAACAACACAACAGATCTCTGAGTGGGGGGGGGCTTCATGAAGAGCCTCATCTGATGCACATATATGTTTATTTTTTTATTATTATAAACCAAACCCTTCTTAAAGCGAGCGGTCAGCTCTGATTGGTCGACTCGTGTGGCCTGATCAGGCCCCTCCCACTGCTCTGCACCACGAAGAATCAAAAAAACTTGTGTTTAAGATGTGATTTGAGAAACTCAATAATACAAATCTTATATTGTGATGAGTAAAATCATTATTATTTATTGTGCAACCGACCTCCTTTAATCCAAAGCTAATTTCTCCCAAAGGAGACAACTAAAGGTGCTTTGAACTTTAATCATGAGGTAGCTAACGGTTAGCCACATTAGCTAGCRCTGCTCAGTTTGAGCGTTTAGGGCTGTGTGGTATAGGAGACAAAAGGTAGAAACAGTATGAAGTTATCCTACAGTAGAAACTGACCCTCTACCTGTCAGTTACATCATCACCGTGAGTGCAGAGACACCTGAGAAGGACTTCAAATATTGTGAAAATAAATGAAGAAATAAAGTGTTTTAAAACACATATAGAGAGAATAAATSCTCAAAATTTCCTCCTCCTGCTGTAGAAAAGTTACGTCGGGTGTCGGGATCATTTCCTCCTCCTGCTGCACGTCACGCAGAGCGAAGCTTTAACAACTGTAGTTTTTTACACTCAAGTTGTCGGAGAAAAAAAACTTGTTTTTGTGTACTGTTTCCCACAGAGATGATAAAAAAACATGTGGATGTTTGTTTAGTCATAAATCCATCTTGTTAATGTAACAGTTCTGCTCTGAGAGTGCAGCAGAGCAGCAGAGGGTCAGTTCAACAGGCTCATGTACGGCAGGCAGATAATACATTTATTTGGCTTCACCACACTTACATTCAGTWATCTGAAACGGTTTTATGACAGGTCTATGWGCAGCTGAAGGTCCTGTAACACTAACATTTTAGTCAACATTGAATGTTTTTATGTCTAAATGACTAATTTTACTTGAGGTACTGGTTAYAACATCCACTTTATTTTTATATTGTTGAAAATTTGAGAAATATTTTAGTTTGTTGTTGAAACAGTTTTACAATATATAAAAAACATTCTTCTGTATTTCTGTTATGTTCATTTGCACTACAGCAAAAATGCTGACTGTGATGACAGTTTTCTGCCAAATAAATGCTCTAAAAATGACATTATCTTAGCTTTTTATGATAACTTTCTACTGCGATATATACTGTTACCATGAAGGGATCCAATTTATACCCTGATATGAATGTGAGGTCATAGTGTTTACCAAATCAAATCCTCACCTCGTACCAAACCKTTGTCATTTTGTTCAAGTTACTACTGTTTGGTACACAGCAGCCAACGTTTTGCACCATTAGGGAACAAAACTGTTACCATTTTACACTTACGCTAATATTCATGTGACGCTGCACCACATGGATCAGTTCTGTTGTGCAACATAAATAAACCAGGAGAAGAATGGATGATATTTCTCCTCAGTATTAAAGCATAAATAAAGAATTGTAAAGTGTTGTTGTACTTACGGGAGCTGACCGTGTCCACGTACTGAGGCAGGTAGGGAGCCCACGCATCGATGGTGTCTTTGCGTCCTGATTGGCCGATCCTTCGTAGCTCGGCCAGAAGAAGAGCCTGGGCTGCTTCGCGTACCTAACAACAACAAACAGGTCTGCTTTTAAAGAGTTGTGTTGGTTTTTGTTGAATGAGTACAACATTGTGAAACGTGCGTTTATCTGTGCTCGTCTTTGAAAAATGCCGAGCTGTGCGTACCTCCAGACATCGGTCCTGCCACCTCCTGGCCAACATCTCCAGCAGCGGGGGTCTGTACTTGTCCAGGCCCAGGAGATCGGGCAGCATCACGCAGTGCATGGCGGCCAGCTGGCTCCACCCTGCGCAGACACGCACACAACAACAAACACACACACAAAAAAAAGAACCAAGATGGAGGTCAGCTGAAATGATTCACGTCTCCATCCTGTACACAAAAACATCACTGCTGTTAGACCAAAACACCGTCTTAAGATTCATCGTACGAGAGCTCAAAACCCAACGACAAGAAGAAACACAACTACTGCCTGAAACTCCCACATCCTTCTGCTCATAGCATGTTGCTACCACGACACTAGCGCTCATCATCAGAGGAGACGTCGGTGTCTTATCGAGGCTTTCAAGAGACAAGCCCCTACTTGGGAGTGACTACGTATGCAGCGTTTTCGGGAAATTGTTGTAGGTGATTTTACTACTTCTACTTCCCGTTGTCTTTTTTCACCAGTAGAAACATCCTGTTGWTGATCACGTGACTCCCGTGATGCAAAAAAAAGTSTTTCGCAGTTTTGCGAAATACACCAATTTCGATACGGCTGAAAAATCACCTCATCCTAGCGCAAAACAATTTTGTCGAAAAATGAAATTTTTTTCAAAAATGACGTGTTTCCATTGAGCTAATTTATTTTTGAAATTCTAATTTGCGCATTTTTGTGGTCAATAAAAACTCAGCTAATGAGAGTTTGGGCGTATGCTCTCTGGAATCTGGAGAGGTTTGAGGAAAAAAATATAATTCCTGTAGCAGTGAGAGAAAAACTGGGASAATCAAGACAGAAATACCCATGTTTTGTTGTATAAACTATTTAGGAGGCATTAAGATGACAGGAATAAGAAGAGTTTGTTTGCTGAAAAGTTTAAAAACGTTGGAGCGTATCAAAAGTTAGTGACATCATCGCACTCATTGTTGAACATTGAGGTAAATTCTCCAAACAAATCACAAACTTTAAACTGTAATGTGTTGTCGTTGGGTAAAAACTGTAAAAGATCAGTCATGATCAAGACCTAACCCAACTAACCCACAAATTTCATTAACGTCGTCCAACGCTAACACCGCTAACAAACATTGAACCTCACTATTCCGCGCAAAATGAAAATAAAATCAAGAWATGCTTTGATTTAACAGCAGTGACTTTCCACATACACACAGACACACACAGTTAAACATGTGATGTTAGCCACAGTTTGTTTTACCAGTCTTGGTTAGAATGAAGAGATCATTTCTGCTAACCACAGTCTGAGTTCGTTTGATGGTACAACAGATCCAAACATGATACAAACAGATACAACATCATTGCAAGGTGGATCAACAAGGACCTCAGGACAATACCTTAGCATGATGGCTTTAAATGASTATTATTTCACTCAGAAACACCGTGATGCAGACAGAAATACCTAGAAAACCCAGGAGGTTTCCAGAATAAACGACACAAATGTTTGTAAAGAGGCTCACATTTGGCTTCGTCACTYCCAGCCAAAATGGTGGAACAGATTTATGTTTTATGTTCAAATATACTTGCAARCATTTTGATCTCTACCAAGATAAATGGACTAAAATGTTTGCGGATTATCAACATAAACCAGGCGCCTCGTTCACATATATCAGTTTAATATATGGTTTCTGGTGACAATGCGAGACATAAACACAGTAAAGAAATTTACATTAAATTTCTTTGTCGGGGTCATCATGTGGACTTACCTCCACCGGAAAAACACAAAGAAAACTTTACAAATTAGATCCTGTAATAGAGGTTGACAGATTATTTGACCGTTTCCTCCAAAGGTGGGACATCGTGTGAAATGTAACTAAAAACAGAATTTATAAAACATTCACTGAATGCAATCAAAAAACAAAATTTGAGCTGAAATGTTGAGAAAATTTCCAGAAAACTTGGTAAATTAAAAGGAAATACAGCCATTATTACTCCAATTGTTCCTTTGTGTTTTCTGCTGTTTCCTATTTAATGCGTTTTGTCTATTTTGTTTGGAACAGATGTTAAACTCATCAAATTCTTATTACCTAACTTCAAAAACAAAGGTTCTGTTTCTAGTTACATAGCATTCTAACCCAACATTTTCTATAAAAATTAAAGATAATACCATCCAATTGGTCCTCAGTCAACCTCTACCCCAAACAACCGTCACTGTCCTGCAGAAACCTCAAAGATTCAAAATACGCATCATAAATAAATTTCATTCAGAAAACAGATTATGCTTTTAAATGTCACAATAAAAGATTAAACAACTCTTCTTCTTGGTTCAAGTATTTTTGTCCTTAAATACAGAAAAATCTCATTTTTTTGTTTATCTATTTATGCTCATCAACAGTTCAGATAATTTAACCTTTAGGCTAGCCACATGCTAAGTGTATGTTTCAGTTATCCATTTGCTACTTACTATCMTTTGCTAGGTTTACCATTTATCATTTTTTTACTTTAGCTTTAAGCTAGTCATTGTTAATTTTACTTTTGTCAACACTTCCACCACCTTTAACTTTTGGTTAGCTTGTTGTTAGATTTACCTTTAAGTTAGCCTTTTGCTACTTTAGATTTGAGCTAGTCGTTTCTACTTTTAGCTTTTGGCTAACATTTTGCAGGTGTTAACTAGCTTTTAARAATCTAAGAGCTTGCTTCAAAAGTTGGAACTTCTAGAAAAAAACAGCAGCTAATAAAAAACTAATAAACCTGAGATAAAAAAAATGTAGATGTTCCAAGATCTGAAACATTTTAAGAACAAAGAGTAACTTAGGTTTTTGATATTTACTTTGAATTTTATTTTATTTACTGATTAAAGAATTTTAACTACAACAAATAACCACATGTATCAAAAGAAGAATTTGGTTTCTGAAGGGCAGTTCTTTGAATAAATAAATCTATTTACAGGTAAAGAATGAGTTTTTGTGCATGCTTGCTGTTCAATCATAAAAACAAGCCTGAGCAGCTTCAGTCTTCATTAACTGGATGCTAAAGGTCATCGGGTTTTAAAAGGCACTTCTTTGTCCCCCGATAGAAATCACAAAGTGTTTCAAACATTTGAGGAAACATTCGTTGGACGTGGTGAATGGCAACAAGCCTCTGAGGTAAAAGCCAGCATCCTGTTAAAGAATTAAAAACAAGAAAAAGCACCAAACAAACCTCAAGTGGAGGGTAAAGTGATTGCACACACCTAAAATAAAAATTAATACAAAAATCTATTTTCATTCCATTTTTTGCCAATTTTATAAAACATTGAGCAGTTTTAAGGTAGTAAAAAGAAAAGGAGTTAATTTGCTGCTGAGCACTTTTTATCTTTTATAAATTTTGTGTTGTTGGTTTTGTGAAGGACCCAGCCCCCGTGTCCTAACAACAAACATGATTGAAATAGCAAGCATACAAACAGGAAACAGAGACTGAAACATCAAGACATATGGACACTGAAACAGAAAAGGCTGACATAAAAACAGGGTGGGACTCAAAAAACTGCTAACAGGTGAAGAAAGACAAAAAGAAACAACAAAATACAGGAAGTGTTGTCAGTGCACTCCCAGCCCTGAGTCCAATCCTTACATTTATCTATAAAATCTAATTGTACGCTGATGACACAACTCTTTATTTTGCYAAATTAGATCAAACTAATATAGTCCTGATATTGTTTTTACTGTTGAATTTTAGATTATTTCCTTATTTTTAATCAATTCAATATTTCAAAAAGGTTTTGAAAAAGCCCTCAAGAAGCCAGAATGTTTTGTGATCTTTAAAACATGTTTTTTGTCTAAGGTTTTTATTCATTCTTTTTCAGACAAGTCCTTGTAACAAACCATTCGCTGTACCAACTGAACAGACTGTGAGTGCTAAAGTTAGCAAGAGTGGTAGCAGGAGTGAAAAGCTAAAGTTACAGGAACGATAGCAGTGAAAAGCTAAAGTTACAGGAACGATAGCAGTGAAAAGCTAAAGTTACAGGAACGATAGCAGTGAAAAGCTAAAGTTAGCAGGAACTACAGC